TCGAACGCAAATGTGTCAAGCCCTGGACTGCATACCTCCATTTAGTATTTCCCCCTCCCCCCTCCTCTCCCTCCTTCGATATCCGTGTGTCATCTCCTCTGGGTCTGTCCGAGTGAAATCATTTACTTTCTCGTGGTACCATTCAACGTTCACTAGGTATCGGCAAAACGAGTAACATGCCCTATCAGTAAAATTTTATAGTGCTACCCTGCACGTCATTTATCTGACGGAGAGTCTGTCTGTGTGGTCATGAAAAGATACGCGAAGCATCCTTCACTTTTTACTCTCCGTTACAACCAGCGATTGCATCATTAACCGTTTGTCCCATTCGTACGTCATTGCCTTTCATTCTTCAGCACCCGAACTGTAAGTGGTACAGCAACAGTTCTCTCCTACACTTCGCTTTCTGCTTCTTTTAAACCGTCTTTGTCTTCCGTCGTGCCTGTTGTTTTCGAGATCCTCTTTCAGCCTCCGCATAATGCCTTCAAGATCCTCCTTTCAGCTTCCACATAATGTATTAGCAAAGAAGAGTGTACTCCCTCTTTCCAGCTTCATGCTTCTAACAGCGTTTTCATAGCTGCAGAATTCCTGGAGTCCGACTGTCGAAGTCGAACGCGTTCAACTTGTTTTGTGTATTTGAGGGGCTTGTCAATGAGGCATTTGTATTTGTAACTGAGGTAGATCCGGTTGGGCCCAGTTTTACTCTATGTCTCCACTAAGCAGCATTTGAGGGCTTAATTGATGCCAGAGATGGGTTTGCGTTGCAGGTGAGCATTGCCAGGCTCTGATTACGCAGTCGGTGTTCGAGACGATGCGCACAAGCGGTGAATTCGGCGCACGTGCGTCGCATTGCTCAGTTATTGTAAACGATGCAAAAATATGGGTGATTGGTGGTGCTCATTTTACCGGTGTTAATAATTCATTGGTTGTTGTCTACGATATCGCCGACTCATCCTGGCGTACGGTGGCCACAAAAAATGCACCGAAAGCACGCTATGATCACACTGTGGTTAGGTACAAGGTAAGTATTCTTGCTCGCAAAGCTTGGTGTCCAAACAGGCAACGTTAATTTTTAGGTGAAAGTTGTTTCAGTTCTACCAGAAAATCAGTCCTTCTATGGCTCATTTCGGTAGTGATCACGACCCATGTCAAAGACTGAAAAGCGACATCTGTTTATTATGCGTTTTGTGCTGTGTAACAGCAATACAAAACGCATATTGTCACGGGGTTGTCTGTGTG